TTTGAGACTGTGAGCCAAGATACTAAGCAGCCAGGGCCAGACCAAATCAACCCACTGAGGCCAATAGTCTGGCTTGTTCTAAAAATAATATTAGGGACTCTCCCAGATGACAAAGGGCAGATTCCAGGTGAAGAGGGGAAAATGCTTGGGTAGAACAGTTAGTAAAATAACTGCAGTTACCTTTCCACACATAGTAAAACATACCCCAAGGCGGAGTCTTCAGGTGGTAATAAGACACTCCCATGAAGAGGCATGATAAGAAACTAAAACCCCACCCCTACATGTGATTACATCAAGAAAACAGGTCCCTGCCTACTTTGTAGATGCCATAAACCTGTACAGCTTTGATCCTCTGCTTGAGTCAGCCTGGGATTTCTTGTCTCTGTACACTGTCTCCCTTGTGCCTGAGCATTAAAAATAAAGAGCTTCCCAGTGGCTCAGGAGGCTGTGGCAAGAGGATTGTGAGTTCAAAGCCAGCCTTAGCAATGGCAAGGCGCTAAGCAACTTAGTAAAAGACCCTGTCTGTAAATAAAATACAAAATAGGGCTGGGCATGTGGCTCAGTGGTCAAGTGCCCCCGAGTTCAATCTCTAGTACCAAAAAAAAAAAAAAAAAAGGCGCCTTATTCCTGCCTTTCTGATTTTCTGATGAAGTATGCAACCACCCACCCAGTCAGTGACATAATCAGAGAACACAAAGACATCAACAGGATTTTTAATGAAAGACATGCCAATGAAAATGACTATTGAAAGGTTTTTAAAAGAGATTATAGTATTAGCAAAGCCATAGTGAGATTCTACTTATATACTTGCTCACAGGAATTATCCCTTGTGCAGCAGAATTCCACAGGAAACATAAAGTTTAATATTCTTTAATATAGTAAAACAACCTCTATGATTCTATCAAAATTAGTAGGTATGAATGGGTTTTTTTTGGTACAAAAGTTGCTATCACTGATATTAAAAATGGAAAATTAGGAACAAACCATGGTAAATAGAGGAAGAAAGAACAACTGAGACAGATGCCCCCATCCAAGATTCCATGCCCCCTAATTAGAACCTATGAGAGGATGTCACTCCCAATTGTGTGGGTCATATTATCTGGCACAATGGACCCCTCAGGAGTCCTGAAAGCAGAGAAATTTCTCTGACTGGTGACAGAAGGAAAAACCAGAGGGATTCAAAGGATGACATGATTTTGCCCAGCCACTGCTGGTATGAACACTGAGGCAGCCATATCACTAGGAATGGGAAGGGGTCCTTTAGGATACAAAAGCAAAACAGCACCTCATTGACAGCCATCAAGGGAACACGCCTTAGCCCTACAACTACAAGCAACCAGATCCTACCAATCTGAATGAGGTTAGAGGTAGTTTCTTGCCCAGTAAGCTGCCTAGATCTCACCTCAAGAGATCCCAGGCAAAGCCCCAGCTGAGCTTCCAGAGTGGTGAGATAATAAGGGGTTGTTGTTGTGAGTCCCTGATCATTTGTTATATAACCAATGGAAATAAAAATGCAGTGGAGACTAATATACTAACAGAAACTGATGTCCAATAGAAAACAAATATACAAATTAAATCTGAGAGGCAATTTAAACCCACAACATAGACATATCATATGACAGAATCACCCATCAGTTCTCTGAACCACACTTGAAGAAAGGGGTGGACTGCTCAGGCCTTGGGCGTAAATATGATGTTCAATCTAGGGGAAAGAAGTATGATTTCAATAAAGATTAGCGGGAGCAGCTTCTCAGCATTCACACATATTTTAGGTTGAAGGGAAGCTGCCAGGGAAAAGAATGCATTTCCTTTCCTTGTAGGTTGGATACTTGCATTTTCTGAAAAATGCATGGCTTTGCAAATATCACAAGACTTAAGGAAAACATTTTTACACCAAATAATAGGCCAGGTTGCATTCATGATTATCTATAAGTGCGCGCTGTTGTTGTCTAAGGACCATTGTTTATCAGCTTATCATTGGATCATTAATTTAGGGATCTTGCTGTTTGTCTAACCTGAACTGGCAACATTCATTTCCTATGTGCCTCAGTCTGGGAATTCTGCCCCCAGTTTATCACAACCAGCTCTCCTAAGGACACAGAAATGTCAGGCCATCTGTGTGTCTGGGTACTTGGGTGGCAGCACTGGTTCCTTCCTTTGTCAGCTTCCCATAGGCATTTGCCCATGAACGAGATGAACATACTATCTTATTGGTGAAATATCCTGGAGAACTGCTCTTTAACCAGAGTGCCTCTGTATAAATGCAGAGACTCTAGCTGGGAAAGTATATATAATAATCCCTAAAAGATGCAATGTCTTCTAGGAAATCATCTGTCACAAGAAAAAAAAAAAATTCTTCTGAGTGCCTCCAATTTCAAATCTTTTTTCCTCTCCAAACATGAAAGGAGTAGGATTTATTCAAGTGTAAAGAAGAGAAACAAAACTCTCTCAGGGTCAAGAGGGGACCCAGTATGGGTTGTCACAAAAACTTTAAGAACACATTTCTTCAAACCTTCTCCCAGATGCATTGCAAGTTCAAGTTTCATCCTTTGAAAAATATAATTTGTTCAACTGCATATTCAAATCAATTTGTACTAAAGACTCCAGAATGGTTCTCAAAATAGTTTATTTTTAGTAAAGATCGGAAGGAATTCCTCTGATTTATCCATATGCTATACAGTTCTAGCCAGTTTTTCTGCTTTATACTTCAAAAACTAAAGGTTTTCTCATATTTATAAATCTGATAGTTGTATAGCCTAATAATTGGGGGAAAAATAAACTATTTTAGTGGCATGCTCAGGAGAAACTAGTTCAGAAAAATCAGCCAATGTTTAAATATACAACGCAGTAAATACATTTTTTTCCTCTTATCTCTATAAGTATCAGATGGAATTTAAATTTACTTTCCTAATTATACCTTTTATTTTGCATCTAATGGCTCTTGTGGGATCCATCTGTTGGAATCCTCAAAAAAAAAAAAATGTGAGTGCTTCCAGGGAGAAGCAATTCTTGACATAAATCACTTTTGACCCACACTATGGCAGAGTGAAACTTTTCATCTATCTCTCAAACCAAATATACTGGAACTCACATACCCTTAGAATCTATTACATCCCATTTTCAAATTCAATCTGAGGGCTCATTTAGAGGTTGTCCTTTTTGATTTCATTATAGCAACAACCTTTTATCCATATGCCCAAGAAGCCCCAGGCCACCTGCTAACACACCAAGAGGGTGAACAGGAGGCAGGATAAATGAGTTAGAAATGAAAGCATGCTTGTTTTTAGCCAGCAAAAAAAAAAAAAAAAAAAAAAGCAAACATTTTTAGATAAAGTGTGGGATGCAAGTATTCACAAGAATAAAAATAAAAGCATTTAAATGGTTATAACATGTCCACAGGAAGATGTGTTCCTGAAATTTGACACTGGTCTCTTGTTAAACTGAAGCTCAGGCATGTTTGTCTCCTCTTCCTTCCAGTAAGGTATTAGGGTGATATGTCCATCACTCCTATGGGCCTGGATGCTAAGTAGAGGGCACAGTATGAGATGGGGTAGGAGGCTATACCAAGCAATAACAAGAGGTTAAATTCCTATAACCTGGCCCAGGAAACCATTACAAACACTTTTGCAGATTTCCAGAATGCTCCCCAGGTGAGAGTCAGTTTCAGGGCTTTCTCCTCCAGGACCTACTGTGTTCCTACCAGATCCCTCATGTTCAACTTTCACCTGTGGGCTGGCATGATGGAGACCAGGTCTGGGACCTCAGCCCTGGTCAGCTATGCAACATTGGCAGCAGGTGGTGGCCTGAACTCTCAAGCTTCCTGGTCTTTACCTGAATCATCATGAGATCCCAGGGCCTGTTTCCTCACTGGGGTCTGTCAGGGAGAGAGGTGAGTGCTCTCCAGGAAGTGACTATGGGCCCTTCTCTGTCAGAACCTGCACCCTCTTCCACAGATGGGAAAAGAAAATACACCCCTCACCATCAGTGCTCAGATGAGAGCTCTATGAGCACATCATGGTTGGGGACCTGCTTCTGGCTGTAATTATGGTGTCCCTGAAGATGCACTGGGAATTGGCTTAATCCTTTCCTGAGGGGACTGAGGCCCAAATTTAGACTCTATCCACTTTCCAGTTTCTTTTATCCTGGGAGAACCCATTAGAAGCCTCCTTCTATGTCTTTGCCCCTGAGGACCCCACCCAGAAGATGAGCTTCCACATCTTCTGTCCTCTCTGCCATGGGCCTGGCTGAGCACCAAGGTCAAGCTCGTAATATCAGCTGTACCTGTGTTTGCACTCAGCCTAGAGCCTAGCATTTCATAATTCCATTCCCCAGTGCAAAGAGTTTATCTCCACCCACCGGGAAAAGTTGGAGGAAGCCAACTGGGAACAGTCCCAGTGAGTCACCACCAGAAAACTCATGTAGCTCATCTATTTTCCTCAAGTGCAAACCCTCATGTTCAGTGTCTGCCCCTGGTAGGTTGCTCAAGTGCCCTAGGGGAGCTTTCTTTACTACAACAACCTCCCTTCTGATCCCACATCCCTGAGGGTCTGAAGGAATCAGCCCAGAGTGGTCTGAGGATCCTGATACTCATCCCTTTCTAAGGGCAAAGGGAGAAGGGCCACATGGCCACTCTCACACTCATTGGCCTTATGTTCCTAATGTTGCCCTGGGATGGGTTTTTGTCATATTTCAGATAAGAAAACCAGGGTCAGACAGTCAGAGAGATGTCCCTGAAGGTCACAGCCAGGAAGTAGGGGATGTGGAGCTCAATCAGGCCAGCTGGTTTTTAAATTATACAACATACAGAACCTCATTCTCTAACCTGCCAACTCTGTCCCCTGGCCCCACTCCATTGGCATCTCTGACCCCAACTTTATAGTCTGGGTAACATCTGCTTCCACCTCCCCATGAGGGGCCTTGGGGATTCCCTGTAGATGACTATGTCAGGCCAAGGAGGCAGGTCCCCGAGCACCTACCTTTGCTGCCCCAGTGTCAAGTGCTCACTCTGCTTGGATGAAGAGTTCATGGTGGACCGCCTCTTCAATTTCCTGAAGTAGGCAGCTTTCCCATTGCCTCACCCGCTGCATCTGTTTGGAAGACAGCTGTTACACAGGAACAGTCATTTTTACTAGGGACAAACTTGCACACTGCAAAAATGCACTTAGGAAAAGAAATACCCACCAGGCCTGGAAACAGACATTTGCTCAGATCAGACACCTGAGCACTCAAGCCCTACCCAGTGCCCCCTCCTCCCTGTGCTCCAGATTGAGCCAGTTCCCCTTGCATCTTTAGGGGAAGCCTGGCCCTGATGTGCCAGGTGGTTGGTGAGGAGGGTTTTCTCCTGTCTCATCTGATCAGCAGAGAAAGAGAACTATGTCAAAGAGAAATGTGGGTCTTTCATAACTTATGCCCTGTTAGCTGCCCCACCACAGGAGCTTAGACCTTGCTGTGGGAGGGTGGAACATCTCTGTTGTAAGGCAGCACTAGGGAAGGTGTCAAGGCCGCCTCACTCAAGCCCTGGGAAACTAGGATTGTCTCAGGAGTGGTGACAGTTTCCTGCTAATAGCTCAAAGAGCAGAAAGGAGCCCAGACTCAGCACAGGGTGGTAGTTTTCACTGGAAGATGTCAATGCCCAACAGGGTTGTTCTTGCCACCAACCTTGTTTGCACCCTCAAAACTGTAGAGAGTTGGTAACCCAATTCCCCGTGGGTTAGAGACCAAGGATAGGGAGCAACCAGAGCCACAGCAAGGGCTCGAAGGGCAAAGCCATGGCTGGAAAGCCTTACAGGCAACAATGGCCACAGGATCCCCTCCGAGCAGAGGGCCGCCTTAGGACAGGACAGCACCAGGTGTTAGAAAGGCTGACGGCTTCAGTGACCTCCTGTGAAGAGTGGGTGGTTGGCCCTCCGTGTCTGTGGTTGAAAGGACATGAAGTCACTCAAGGTGGGTGCCAGTGCACCACAGCTTGGCAGCACTTGCTTTCCTGTCAACAGGGACTTGGAGTTGTATGGGGTGGGGGTGAGAAAGGGACAGGGCAAGACCTTACCACAGCCTCCTGTCCTTTCTGGTCTCGTCTTTTCTTCCTGGTTATATCTGGAATCCCAGGCAATCCCGAAGTTCCTGGCCACCTCTTTGCTTCCCTGGCCTCTCTTTTCTGCTCCTGTTTGGCTAATGAGGCTGACACAGGTGGGTCTTTCCCAGGAGCCGGGTCGTCCAAATAGGACCCTAACTGCCCACTGGTGCCCTCAGATGCCCTGATGGTCGACAGCTTTCTCTTTCTGAAGGTGGCTATAGGGCTGACCCCTGCCAGTTGGGACATAAGGTCCTTGGAGGACTGAGAAGGCACTGGGGACCCTAGGAGGTGGGAAGTCCCTCTTGGGGGCCTTGGACTCCTCCAGCCCAAGGCTGTCTCCTCAGGGGTGCTATGCTTGGTGGACTTCTTCCAGGACCTCTTCTTTGTTACTAGAAAGGGGCTCTCATCCTCAGAGGAACTCAATACAGAAACCTATAAAGCAAAAAAAAAAAAAAAAAAGATTCAGATCCTAATCAGTCATAGCAAGCTTTTTAGATAGCTCAAATCCCACCCCAGGCACATTCTCATCTGGGCAGGGCCACCCTATGAGACAGACCCTAAAGTCACCCCACAGAGGAGAACGTGCAGCATGGAGGGGTGACACCTGGCACGAGATGGGACAATATGCTTCTGCACATGGTTTTCACTCACTACTTTCAACATGGCAGCAGTGGTCAGAGGTGGGTATTTAATGGGGCAAATAGGAACAGAGGATGTTCAGGAAACCCCCTCCCCAGGGGAAAAAACCCTAGTAAAACACTGCCAAGGAAATAATTTTAACATGCAAATTAACATAGAAAGATGAAATTATTTATGAACATTGCAGCTTTTCACACATGAACAGGTGAAGAGAGTTAGGCAGGAGGCTCTGGCTGGTTGGTTGAGGTAGAAGGTATTTGGACCACAGGTTAATATCCCAACCCAAGCCCCATGACTGACTGCAGCCATTATGTTGGTCAAGTTTTCCTCCAAGATCAAGTCTAGATTAAGCCATTCATACTCCTGTTCTCACACTCCCCCACCCCCACCCAGAAAACAAGTTACAGTTAGCTTCTATTCAGCAGATTCCACACTGGCAGATTCAACAAATCAGAGGTTGAAAATATTCCAGAACAAAATTGTATTGAACTGTGGAGAGCAGGGACAGTGAATGGGAGAGCAGGGTCTGAAATTGGGGTCTTTGAGGACTTCATGGCTGTGGCATGCTTGGTGCCTGGGAAAGTTTCTGTGAAAAGGTGTAGGATGCCCAGTTGCTATGGTAATGCCCTCCATGAGGGGGCTCCATGCTAGAGTCTTATCAGCCTCAACCTTGATCTCAGGCACATAGCTTCTGGAAATAAAGGAACTCTTTTGATAGACAACTACAGTATTTCACGGGCTCTGCTGCTCCTGAACCTGTCCACATAAAAGTAACTTTAAACAATGGACTTTCTTGAGAGCTACACAAAGCTCCTAACATTGCACATTGCAACTGTAGTATGTCACTGAAGAGTAAACTGCATAATGTTGCTAACTTTGTAATTTTCATGAATACAAAGAATAATGTTTGCATAGGCTTTAATCTGATTAATGAGACATTAATAAAGATTGCTGCTGTAATTCTTTAGACATGCTTCTCCATCAGAGAGCAGTGCTCCACCTAACACCAGCTCTTATCTTCAAAATCTGTGTTATGAGTCTTTAATTCTAACCTCTCATTGCCCCTTGTGGGAAACTGCTAGTTTGACCATGCTGGTCATCATGGCATTGAACATATGCAATTTTTTTTTTAAAGAGAGAGAGAGATAGAATTTTTTAATATTTATTTTTTAGTTTTCAGTGGACACAACATCTTTATTTTATTTTTTTTATGTGGTGCTGAAGATTGAACCCAGCGCCCCGTGCATGCCAGGCGAGTGTGCTACCGCTTGAGACACATTCCCCAGCCCCATGTGCAATTTTTTCTTGTCCTTATTTTCCATATCATGCGGTATAACAATATCTTTCATAGACTTTGCAATGCATTCAGTATTATAAGTAATCTAGAGATTGATTTAAAGTATGTGTGTGGAACCTATGTAGATCCTCTCAAACACTACACCATTTTATATAAGTGACTTGAGCATCCTTAGGGGCCTGGAACTGATCCCAATAGAAAACATGCTCATGTTTTCACAGTGCCCCTTGGAAACTGTTCATGTCAAATGACCTGATGGCAGCTAAGCAATCTATCATGTTTGTCATCATTCCTAGGTATCTTGAGGTATACGATACTAACAGCATCATAGAATATCTGCCCCACTTTACTACGCATTGAGGAAACTTGCAAATACATACCAGATTTTTTATTTTTGTTTTATTCCACTCTAATGGAACAATTTCTTGCATGTATTTTTTTAGTAATGAGAATAACCCTTTCCAGTTACAATGTCCATTGCAGTCTATGACATCCCCAAACTGTTAAGGAAGCTATTGTCACATAGGGTGATAGGGAACTGAAAAGTTTCTATAAGAGAATAGAATGGTTTTTTTAGGAGTGATTTTTTACATTCCCTGATGCTTGTCTATACTGTGTGACTAGCGTCTGCATTCCTATGGCCTGGACAGAATCAGCAATCCATAAGAACTCAGAACTTATACAAGGGAAACTCAAGCGCACACATGAGCTTCCCCGAAAACAGTCAAGGTCAAAGTCTAAGGACTCCATTTCCAATCCATCTGCTCATGCCTGTCTTCTGCTTGGAGTGATAACTGTTAGAGCAAGTAAAACATTTTACTTTACTGAATTATTGTCCATATTTGTGCACCGAGTGGAATATTTAGTAATTAATTTTGGTGGAAGCCCAACTAGAAGGCTTGTTACCAATGTTGAAGTAATAGGGAACTAAACTTCTATTAGAAGAAAATAAAAATAGATGAGTATATTAACTTTAAACATGAGACTGATTAAGAATATTAGTCTGAAGCAATGGGAACATGTAAGAGTTTATCATTTGCTGCATAACAAATTACATTTAAACTTAGTGGCTTAAAACAAATATTTATATAGTCTTCCTTTATCAATGGGGCTATATTTCAAGAACCCTAGTGGGTACCAAAAATCACAGATAGAACTGACCCCCAAAATACCATTTCCCTCCCCCCCAAAACTTTCACTAAACTAAACTTTCACCTGTATACTAAACTTTAATCTTTTCACTTAAAGGAAGCACTTCATGGCTTCTCTTGGGCATATCTAAATTGCAGGCATCACAGCTCTTGCACATTGGGGCCATTACAATAAAAGAGTAACTCGAACCCAAGCACTGTAAAATCATAACAGTTGATCTTATAATCAAGGCAGCTAATAAGTGGCTAAGAAATGGGTAGCATACACCATGTGGAAACATTGGACAAAGGAATGATTCATGCCCAGGCAGGACAGAATGAGATGTCATCACAATGCTCAGAATGGCAATTTAAAACTTATGAATTGTCTACTTCTGGAATTTTCCACTTAATATATTTGGACCACATTTTACTGTAGGTAAGCAAAACCTTGGATAAGGGAGGACTACTGTATATCTCACATATTTAAAAAAAAAAACACACTTAGATTCCTATTTTCATAAATGGATCCAAGTTACTCCTTGCTGCATACTCTTCCAAATTACTGATGACTTTTCATGTCACTGACTTTGGAACAAAACATGTACAGTAGAATAGTTGTAGTGTCATGAGGTTGTACCAGAACAGTTATGTGTTTAATCCCCACAAAGACCTCAGAATGAGGCCAGGGTGAAGAGGTTCTGGAAATTTAGTGAGGGGTTTTTCGGGAAACATTTATCCAGCAAGGTGCGTGGGAACACTTAAAATCTGCTTCCACTGATTTCTAACAGCATTATTACAAGTGAAGGATGACTGTCCTCCATAACTGAGAAGTTAAAAACTGAAGGCCGAGCGGCCTGAAACAAGAAATGGCAGCAGTGAGGGGTGAACTGGAGTTGGTGAGATCAAGACTTAAGCTCGTCCCATGGGTTCAGAGACCCAGCTGCACAAACCAAGAGCCCTGATGCTTAGCCAGAAGGTGGTGAAGGAGTGCCCACTCCCTTGAAGAGGACAAGTTGATTGTGACCATGAACAGAGCTTTTGTTGTGTAGCCTTGGGGTAAGGTTTTTTTTTTTTTGATACTAGGGATCGAACTCAGGGGCACTCATCCACTGAGCCCCTCCCCAGCCCTATTTTGTGTTTTATTTAGAGAAGAGCATCATTGCTGAGGCTAGCTTTGAACTTGCAATCCTCCTGCCTCAGCCTCCCGAGCTGCTGGGATTATAAGCATGCTCCACCATGCCCAGCTTGGGATAAGTTTTATACATGGTTTCCTTTCAGCAAAACCTTGGGACTGGATTCATGGCAACTCCAAGCAACCCAAAGGATGTATTTATGCCTAAGCATGAACCAGCATCAGATCCCGCTGCACTGGTTTTCAACGTGGTTGTACCATTCTTCAACCCCACCAACAACATATGGAGTTCTCGCTGCTCCACAAGCTCACCAGCATGTGTCATGCTCTTTTTCAAAAAATTTAGTTTTCTAATAGGTGAGTAGTGTATTTCATTTTCATGAGTAAAATCTCATTTGCATGGTGGTCCTAATAGGCATTTCTATAATGAGTAATGAAGGTGAACATCTTTTCATGTACTTAACAGTCTATATGTTTTGTTTGGTAATCTAAAATAACTAAAGGCCAAAGACATCTGTCTTATTGATAAGGGAAAATGGAGTAAACTCATCTATCAAAGGATCCTCAGATTGAATTAGAAAGAAAAACCCAATTATGCACTGTATAAAATAAGACATATCTAAGAGAATGGGCTGAGCTTGGTGGTGCACACCCATCATCCCAGTGGCTCAGGAGGCTGAGGCAGGAGGATTGTGAGTTCAAAATCAGCCTCAACTTAATGAGGCCTTAAGCAATTCAACAAGGCCCTGTCTCTAAATTAAAAGGAAAAAAAAAAAAAAAAAAAACAGGTTGGGGATATAACTTTGTGGTTAAGTACCTCTGGGCTCAATTCACGGTGCCAAAGGTTGGGGGAAGAGTGTATAATGGGAAAAAATAATATTTGGGAAGTAAAAATGAACAAATACAGACTTAAATACTTATATTGGAAAGGTTGAATTCATGGCAAAACCTATTAAAAACAAAACCAAAAGCACAGTGTAATAAAAACAACTAAAATGCACAGTCGTTGTGAGATTTTTGTACCAGACAATAGAAAAGTGAATATCCATAAAAAAAAAATACTAGGAGAAATAGGAACAACAGGAATGAAGTAGTAATTGAAGCTAATTCATTTTTTTATCCCATGCTAGATGGAGGCAGGAAAAAGAAATGATTAAACTGGGGGAAAAAGAAATGATCAATACCACATTAAAGTTTATCTCCTTTCCTGTAAAATCATCAGCACTTATAAAAAGAGACTTTAAATCCTACTACTTCAGAGGACAAGATCTCAGAGTAAAGAAATTGGGCTAAGGGAAAGAACTGGGACTTTTATCAAAAAGAAATTGCAAGGTAATAGTATATTTTCTTACTAACAGGAGGTACTATTAACTAGCTATTTATAACAATGAACTGAGACTCTAGTTTGATGTTTTCTAATAATATTGCAATGTGTTGAAAGCTTACACATCAAACAATTTAGTATTGTTTTACAAACATGTAGAAAGAACAGATGCTCCAGACTCGCATATGAAGGCAGCATATGCAAAAAAGGAAAATATCAGATGAACAGGGAGGAGAGTTTTTGTCTTTTATCACATGTTATTCTGGCTGTTTGGCCATTTGGAAAAAATTAAAAAATAAAGCCAAATTCCTCGCTCATGCCTTGAACTAAAACAAATTATAAGGTATTGAAGATTATACTCTTAAAATCACAAATTATGGGAAGAGCAAAAAAAAAAAAAAAAAAAACACCTTTAAAAATACGAAAAAAAGTTGGGTTCTTATATCATCACATCATTCACTAAGATAAATTCCAAGTGGATTAAATGCAAAAAGCCCCCAACATTTTAAAGTATCCGGAGGAAATGGACAGATTGAAGGAAAAGGGTGGATTATTCTGTCAATTTATCCTAAGTAAGGCTTTTCTATTTAACTCACAACATAGATTTTAAAAAATGGACTATCTATATTTTAAGACTTCTGCAAAAAATAATGATACAGTATTGAAAAGATCAAAGACAAATACAATTCCTTTAAAAGGTAAACAAAGGGCAAGTCTGTCTATAATTTAGGAAACACACAGCAGCCTGATGGACAAATCCACAAGGTTTCTGAGCAGCTGGTAGAAACTGTCCTTTCTGGCATACACGTACTCAACCTCCTTCTTGGTAATAAAAATGCAGATTGAAATGAAAGCAACGTACCATTTTCTTCCATCTGTGAGTCTGACAAAAAAATCCAGAAGCATGAAAACTTTAGACAAGACAGAGAGGAAATTGCTGCATCCAGTATGAGAGGAAATTTGGGAGCATTCAAAGTACATGTTCCATTTGACCAGCAACATTCCTAAACACTGATTCTACAGAAAGATACATGCATACATGTACATGTACAAGGTGGTTGATAACATCATTTTGTAGAAGATTGGAAACAACCCAAATATTCATCATTGTGGATCTGTTAAATTATAACTATTTAAGGGAATACTGTGCACCTATAAAAAGCATGCAAATGGTTTTTATAGAATGATAAGGAAAAAATTCTATGTTTTAAATAGTCTTGGACTGAGGAAAAATAAGACTTTAAATAAGTTCTAGAAGCAGCTTTAAATTAACAGGTATGGTGAGGAAGGGTTGGATAGAAGATAGAAGGAGTCACTGTGTATCTTTTTATGTCAATGTTTTGGAACTATAGAAGCGTATTGCCACTTAGGAGTGAAAAAGGAAAAAAAATGACTTTCTAATGAAAAAGCCAAGGCACATGAACACTAAGGCGGGGGCCCAGGACCTCCTGGTTGGGGGGAGTAGTTAAGGGTCCTAACCCAACAGGTGCTCTAGGGCATGCTCAAAGCATGGTAGGCATTGATAGGTTTTGACTTCATGTAGGATTATCTCATTCTACTAGGCCAGCATTTCATTGTGCATCTACAGCAGACAGACAGACAGTCAGCTCATGGGGTTTCTCTTGTGTCCCGAAGCCCTCTCTGCCAGGGTGGCCTGGGGCATCTGGTCTCTTTGGCCTCCTGCTTTAGCACCCTCCCCCCACCACACACACACCTCAGGCTAAGAGGGCTATTACTGCCCAGATTTGGGAGATCTTGCTAGGTGGGCCAGGAGAGGGAAAGGGTAAATGCCCAGAGTCTTAGTACTGCAGTTACCTGGCGACTGGGACCTTCCCTGGGGTTCTCCAGAGCCTAGAGCACCCCCTCCCTGCTTACCTGCATCCTGGGCTCCATCCTGTCTCCTTGCCAGGACCTTCCTTCTTACAGCGCCCTGGGAGCCCCACCATCTAGATATATCTGCCCCGTGGTGCTGAATCACCACTCAGGCCTTGGGCAGGTGCAGAAGCCCACCTGTGTAGGATCTACCTAATGACCTCGTGGGGCGCTGGGCAGGATCAGGCAGGTTCTCCTCGTTGGTTACTCTTGAGTACACTTGAATGTGTGCCAGTGGAGTTCTGTAAGTAGAGGGGGAGAGGTGGTGCTCCCAGCAAGAAGCCCTGTATGACAAAAGGAAAGGGGATTATCTCCTTAGCCAATTCAACCAAGACCAAACTCCTTTCTGTGTCCAGCCAAGCTGAGAGGACTTCGGAGTATGTTCTGTGACTGCAGACTTTCCTTTTCTTCAGCGATTCTCAAATTTAAGTTGCTCAGGAACCCCTGGAAGACGTGCTAACTGCTCAGAGTGCTGGACCAGCCAAGTTCCTGTTGAGCTGCTCCCATTAGCTTTTCTAACAATTCCCAGGTGATACACTGGTGTAGGTCCACTTTGGAGACTTGGCTTCAATGAGTGGCAATAAAGACCACAGAGTAATGGTAACTTGGGTTATACTAATCTATACTGGTTTTGGTCTCCTATACTAATAGTCATTTCCTAACACATCTTGAGCATCTAGGGGGACTGAACTAAAAATAGAGGAAATCAAGCCCTAGGAACACCTGATGGAATGAAACAGCTTAATATGGTATATTTAGGCAACTTAAAAACCTTTATTATTTACCAAAGAACCAAACATGACATTTTTTTTTAAAGGAAGCTGGCAACAATTAGAAGAAACTACATGTAAGTTTGGTTTTAGAAATGATTTTTTGGTGGGGGGAGGGGGTATCAGGCATTGAACTTGGGGCACTTGGCTACTGAGCCACATCCCCAGCCCTATTTTGTTAGAGACAGGGTCTCACTGTGTTGCTTAGTGCCTTTTGCTGAGGCTAGCTTTGAACTCCCGATTTTCCTGCCTCAGCCTCCCGAGCTGCTGATTTACAGGCATACACCACCACGCCCAGCAGTTTTAGACATAATTGCAACCTTCTGACAACTCTAAGAACGAAGTTGTTAGTATGCCATTTCAATGAAGGGAAGATGGATCTTTAAAAATTGAGGTATGGGGGCTGTGTGTGGCTCAGTGGTAGAGTGCTTGCCTAGCATGCATGAGGCACTGGGTTCGATCCTCAGCACCACAAAAATATAAAATAAAGATATTATGTTCACCTAAAACTAAAATAAATAAATATTTTAAAAAATCCTGCAATTAAAAAAAAATTGAGCTATGTAGCTTGGGGTCTCTTAGTGGTAGTCAGCAGAATCAAGACAAGAACCTGGGATTTGTATCAAATTAAAAAATAGGGAGAACCTGGGCTTGCCTGGTTTTCAAGCAAAAGTGCTCTTTACCCTTGCTACTCTTTATTATTTTTTAAAAAAATATTATTTTTCTGAATTTTGCCACTAAGTTGCCATGTGATTTTGGTGGGCTCTCTCATTTCTGTGTAAAATGAGGTAGTATATAGGGCTTTCCCAGCTCTGAACCATCTTCACATGCAGGAACCTAAGAAAGGAGAAGACAGCTGAGGAGAGATCATGTGGGCTCAGTGCACAGGCCCATGGGCAGGTGCAGAGCTAAACTCGGGTGGACACCCACCCACCCTCCTGACTGTTCACTTTGAGGACATAATAGGTAGCAAAGAGACTGAGATCCCTTAATTCTGAAGTCTTCCTGAGGATTTAGAGAGCACTGAAGGGGGATGGGGACCCATCTGACCTGTACAGATTTCACAGAACTGCACAGCTAGGTGACTGGTTGCAGGTGAAGGTGTTGAGGGTGTCCAGAAAGGAGAACTCCTCTATGCTGCTGGTGAGCCTCAGGGAGCAACCCTTCTGTGGTGAAAATTGGCATTAATGTGTAATATGCATGCAAATGTTCATGACCTTGAACGAATGTTCAGGAGATAATCAGATGGAGTTGTTACTTATTTCCTGCTACTGATATCCATGGAGAATGGTCTTTCAGTGCCCAAATTTATTCAGTGTGCATAGCCAGCAAAAGGATTCTGCTGGAATAAATTAGGGCAAATCTAAGGAAAGGAATACCTTGCAGAAATATGTGTCTAAACACGTATGTGCAGGTGCATACATGTACACATATGATGCATATATAGATAAATAAGTACACTATAGTCAAGATATATGCAAAAGAGATGCATGACAATGGTAATATCAGTCTCATGCAGAAGGCAGGATGATGGGTAAATGCTGCAACACACGATTAAATCAGTCAGGGTCACTACAGGTGAATTGGGCTGGCACTAAACAACCACACAGAGACAGAGAAAATGCCTTTTTCTTGGGGTTTAGCGATGGTTCCACTGCCCCAGCTCCCACAAGGAAGGCAGGAGAGACAGGCAAAAGAGAGTGAGTACCAGCTAAAACTCTATTTATTGGAGGGGACACACTTGAGAAAGTTTCACCCAAAGGAGGCAAGGGATTGGGTTTCGGGGGGTGTAGCCCAATCCCATTGAATGACACCCACTCCCAGAGCTGTAATTCCTTGCCCAACAAAGATGAGGTCCACCTGCTTTCACGCTGCGAGTGGAAGCCTGTTCCACACCTTCATTGCTCAAGGCTAAGGGTACGTGCTCAGCTCCTGTTCATGGTGGCCTCCGACAGGTAAAAAATTTGTTTTTCAGTACTAGGGTGGAACCCAGGCCTTTGTGCATTCTAGGCAAGTATTCTGCCAATGAACTACACACCCCAATCCTTTTAAAATTTTTATTTTGAGTTGTGCAAGCTGTCCTTGAGCTTTTGATATTCCTGACTCAGTTTCCCAAGTAGGTGATTGAACCACCATGCCAGGCATGATGGGTAAATTTGAACATCACTAGCCAGGTGTGTGGTGCACACCTGTAGTCCCAGCCACTTGGGAGACTGAGGCATGGGAACTGCAATATATAGTGAGACCCATCTTAAAAAAAAGTTTAGTATCACTTATTAGTATCACTTATCTGTTTTACATGATCCTAAAAAGAAGATGTAATGAATATATAATAATTTTAAAAAGTAAAACTCATTTAGCATAGTTCATTTATTTTCCAGATGGGGAAACTGAGGGTGGCAGTGGAGAGGGGCTTGTCCCAAATCCTTAAGTAAGTCAAGTCAAGGCTGCTTCATCCTCTGCATTGTGCTACCTGATATGACTGAGAACAGAGCAATATGTTCTTAGACAAGTTCCTGAATTGCTTCATCAACAGATAGTTACAGACACAGCCCCTATCCATCATAGACCTTCACAGTCCAAGGCCAGGATGGATTAGATACACATGACAAGTATTTGTCACAAGGACCATATGGTCCCAGAATAGTAGCCCTCAGAGGTGAATCTGCCCTAGTCCCTCAGCCTGGGAATCTTCTCAGGGAGAATATTTCTGCATGGAAGACTTTTGCATGCAAGTAAGGGTCCAAACTTCAAAATAGGGGAATAGGCTGGCAAGTCTGAGCAGAGCCGAGCCTGGCGTGGCTGGAGAGTTCAGAGAGCAGAAGTTGGGGTTGGAGAAGGGTGGGGAGCTGCCAGGGTGGATCCCAGACATGCTCTACAGCACAGGGTCCCAAATCCCTCACCTGTAGGACATGCTGACTGTAGATAATTCATGATTAATCCAAGTCCAAGTAGCTGGCATGCATCCTGCTGGGTGGCTACATTGAAAACACATATGATTACAAATACTGCTTGAGGCCTTGGCAGGGCCAGACTCAGAGCCTGGCCTTGTCATTTAAATGGTGAAGACCTTGGACAATGAGAACTCTTCCCTAGGTCTCTGCTAATGTGTGGGAAATCCTTGGGCAGAGACATGGGGTAAACTCAACACCTGGTAGCTCCTTCTATTACATGTTAAGCATACCTAATTAAAAAATCTGGAATACAAAATGCTGAAAAATCCTTAGTTTTTTTTTTTACTATAAATACATATAATTTTTATTTGTGATTATATCATTTTTGTGTTCTTTTTAGATATACATGACAATAGAGTATATTTTGACATATTATACATACATGGAGTATAACTTCCCATTCTTGTAGTTGTACATGATGAGGAGTTACACTGTTGTGATTTCATATATAAACATAGGAAAGTTATGTATGATTCATTCCACTATCTTTCCCTATTACCATCCCTCCTCCCTTACCTCCATTCCCTTTGTTTAATGAACTTCTCTCCCCCACCATATTGTGCATTAGCATCTGCATATCACAGAAAACATTTGGCTTTTGATTTTGGGGGATTGGCTTATTTCACTTAGCATGATAGTCTCCAGTTCCATCCATTTACCAGCAAATGCCATAATTTCATTCTTCTTTATGGCTGAGTAATATTCTATTGTGTTTATGTACCACATTTTCTTTATCTATTCATGTGTTGAAGGGTATCTAGTTTGGTTCCATAGCTTAGCTATTGTGAATTGAGCTGCCTTAGCTTTTTTTTTTTTGACACAGTGGAAAATTCTATACCTGACCTCATGTGATAAGTTACATGCAAAACACAGGCCCACTAAAAATATTCAAAATTATCTTCAGGCCATATGTATAAGGTGTATATGAAACATAAATAAGTTTTGTTTTTAGTTTTGGGTCCCACTCTGAAGATATCTCATCATGTTTATGCAAATATTCCAAAACTGGATAAAATACAAAATTTGAAATAATTCTAGTCCAAAGCATTTCAATAAGGGATACTCAGTTGATGATGCATTTTCTATTGGTACTGTTTTTACTACTGGGTTCTACCAAAATTTCCATTGAACACTCATATTTCTCCAAACTCCATTTGAAGGAATTACATGTTTCTGATATGCTTCAGGCTGCCTTTAATCCCTAGATATAGAAAAGTAGCTAGTGGTAAATAATCTTGTAAAGAACGGCAGCACAATTCACAACAGCTAAACTGTGGAACCAACTAGATGCCCTTCA